TTAAATATTACAATTACAGGACATGTGTGAAAGAATGCGGTGTACATTATCTAAAATGTATCAAAGTAGAAATCTGAATTTTATTTTTAAAAATATTTTTTATTAAGTTATGTAGTTCTATAAATGATACGAATTTTAAAATAAATTTTTCGTTACATGGAGCTAGGGAGGAAAAGTGGTCATATGATTCTCTGGTATATGTCTTAAGGTACAATAAATGCTGAGAAACGGTTGAGTGTTGTTGTCTTAGAGGAGAGGGTCATTAACATGTTTAGTTGAATTTGGCAGCGTCCATGAGATGCTGAAGGAGAGAGGTCAAGTTGGTAGCTGGCGCGGTGGGTTTAGACTCAGAAGCTGGTGGATAAACACTTCACTTTGGGAGGTGTGGATTCCCAGAGATGAGAGGTGGCTGAAGCAATGCAAGTGGGTGGGGTCACCCTGGAGAGAGTGAGCAGAGCACCCAGGCTGGACCCCTGAAGAATACCAAATGGTTGGCGGTCCACGCAGAGGAGCAGCTGGCACAGCAGCTTCCAGGAGGAGAAGCCAGAGATTAGGGAGCACGCAGCAGGGGTGTTGTGTCAGGAAGCCGAGGAAAATAACCATGAGGAGCTGGACAGCTGGACCGAATACTGCACAAGAATCAAATAGGAGGATTGAAAATGGCCATTGTTTCTCAAGGCAAGGCGCGTGCTGGGGATTTCACTCGCCGAAGCGGTGGCAGATTAGTATCCTGGAAGTGTATATGGTCAGCCCTCTATATCTGAGTGGTCTGCATCTACAGCTCAACCAACTGCAGATTGAGAATATTTGGGAAGAAAAAAGTACCGGAAAGTTCCTAAATGTAAAGCTTGAATTTTTAGTACACTGAGCCTTGTGGTGTGTCCATGTGAATGAACCAACGGGTAGCACATGTGCTGGATAGTACTGTACTTAGCAGATCGTTACTACTATGCCCAGTATAGTACTTGTTGTGTGACCACTGCATCCTGTTTGTACTTTGTGTAGTGTTGGTATGGAACATGTATTGTTTTTTCTTTTGATATTTTTCCCTGTCAGTATAGTACAACAACTACTTCTGTAGCATTTACATTCTTTTTAGGTATTGTAAGTAATCTAGAGGTTTTTTTCTCTTCTTTCTTTCTTTTTTTTTCTCTTTTTGGTGCTGAGAATTCAATCCTAGGACCTTATACAAGCTAAGTACATGCTGTGTCACTGAGATATACCCTCAGCCCGT